TATGTTCGTGCTGTCTACGTTGCAGCGTTCTTGCTTGAAAGAACAATGACAAAAACGCACAGACAACTTGTACTCGGGCAGATATTTCTTCCAGTTCGTTTGGTGCCCGGGTGCCATGGCGACATTCTTAAAAGACAGACCGTCATTGTTGACGAGGCATTCCTAACTTGTATATTGACATCAAGGAGAAAAATCGGTACGATCAACATGCTAAAAACAAGAAGACTAGAAGTAATGATTTATATACAGCGTTTGGAACATTTGACCGTCCACTATCTTATTTGTGTCATCGGCACGTTCAAAACTTCCAAGGCAACACACCCAAAATAAAAGGGTGTGTTGCCTTTGAGTCAGCGTGCGGCAATTTCTGACTTTGCCTCTCCCAGCTAATTGTCCAATTACTATACGTCTTACTCATTCCACTCCACATCTAACCAATCACAACCGTTGGTTCACGATGACTAACTGACTAATCATGCCGTACTGACGAAATAGTGGCTGGGAGATACCTGGGAAAACATCAATCTGTCAAAGTTAACAATTGACCATTGTCAGTCAGGAGGGCGTTGCAGACAGACATGGCGTCGAATGCGTGTGAATGACGTGTTAAAACCTAACGCTTGACTGCTTTGAATTGACACTTCTAAACCGTACTAATTAACATGGTTGATAACATTAAGATATGTACAATTGGAAAAAACAGTCTAATCTCATCTTTGTAACAACGACATTGTAACATCTTCATCTTGTGGGTCACACACAGTGGGTTTAAGGGTACAAGTCTGAATATTGACTAGTAAATGGCTATCTTTGGCCCTGTAGAACAGAATAGGTGGTGTGAGCCACTATTTGCTCACACCAGTACATTTGACCAATCACAATCGTTGATGACGTTTTCGCCAATCTATTCCACCACACCCAATTCTTCTATATAGTTGGAGAGTGGACAGTGGACTTACACATCCGACTTCGCCTCACCAACAACATTGAACATACCTGTAAGTACCTGTTTGTACCCAATATTCTATTTCACCGTATTTCTTCTGTTAAATTGAAAAACTATGATCTCAATTTTCAGCTGCTGCTGAAAATGCCGGAAAAGCTAACTTTGTTAGATTTCCACAGTATTGAGGACACCGACCAGGAATTTTGCGTGTGCTCCTTTTAAAGCCTGCTGTTTCTTGCCTAGTCTGTGCTACATGTATACTTTCAGTTATATCACAGCTAAGGCCAGCCTGACCGTGTTTTATTAACGCTATTGTAGAAATTTTAGCTGTTTTGTCGGCCCGTGCCTTGTGTAAAAGAGTGCATGTTTTCCCCGCCCGACCACGTGGCTTGTCATTTACCTCCGTTTGAACGGTGGCCAGGTTTCTCGTTAATGTTACAATTGAAAATTTTTGTTCAAGTTGAATACTTGATACAGAAAGTATCTATGGAATCGTACTCTTTTTTCGGTACATTTTGATATGAAAACGACTGGTTTCTAAACAGGGTGACGACTCCCACTTGGTCTGTGCCCAACCAAAGTGTCGTCTGAAACATTACTTTTCAGAGTAGTTTGTTCTTTTTTTTTTATAAATTTGTACTTCAGCAAAGGCAACCCCTTGCTTTCTTTGAGCGGAATTGTATTTAAGCCGTTTTGCCGTTTTGTCGGTACCTGGGGAAATGATTGCCTGTTTCCCCGCAAAGCTCACAGGTTGTCATACTCCCCAAGTTCAGACGTCGAGATTTCACATTACTGTCGGGGTCAAAGCACCCTTGGCCAGACTTTAGATTACGCACTCACATTGTTCAATGTAGAAAGTATCCAAAGGACCATGCCACTGCCAAATCACACTGACAAAGACGAAAAGAAAAGGTCAGCTAACGCAGTGGACTAACTGCCAACCACCTTGCTTACGAGTGGCTGACCCAACCGTAGTCACGGCGGTTGTGTGTGGCATGGGCTTAACGTGCGCACGTCTACTCTGTTGGACCACTACGACGTCATGTAACCGTAGTAGAAAATACAAACTAAGTCTGAAAAGACTTACATTCTACATCAACGATTAGATCTATGATTTACGTAGTAGTGTGAAAGAATAGGCTATTGTTGGCCAGGTATCGCTGAGTATCACTAAACTTAAAGATATTGATTTTGGGAGTCAGACGGGCCCAAAACATTCAGATGCTATACACTAAGTTATGTTCGTGCTGTCTACGTTGCAGCGTTCTTGCTTGAAAGAACAATGACAAAAACGCACAGACAACTTGTACTCGGACAGATATTTCTTCCAGTTCGTTTGGTGCCCGGGTGCCATGGCGACATTCTTGATAGACAGACCGTCATTGTTGACGAGGCATTCCTAACTTATATATTGACATCAAGGAGAAAAATTGGTACGATCAGCATGCTAAAAACAAGAAGACTAGAAGTAATGATTTGTATACAGCGTTTGGAACATTTGACCGTCCACTATCTTATTTGTGTCATCGGCACGTTCAAAACTTAAACTTTTCGTCAGTATAGACTATACTATAGTAATCATTATTTGACGTCATGGCTACACACCCAAAATAAAAGGGTGTGTTGCTTTTGAGTCAGCGTGCGGCAATTTCTGACTTTGCCTCTCCCAGCTTATTGTCCAATTACTGTACGTCCTACTCATACCACTCCACATCTAACCAATCACAACCGATGGTTCACGGTGACTAACTGACCAATTGTGCCGTGCTGACGAAATAGTGGCTGGGAGATACCTGGAAAAATATCAATCCGTCAAAGTTAACAATTGACCATTGTCAGTCAGGTATCATAAATTTGTACTTCAGCAAAGGTAACCCCTTGCTTCGTTTGAGCGGGATTGTATTTTAGCCGTTTTGTCGGTACCTGTGCATGTTTCCCCCGCCAAGCTCACGAGTTGTCATACTCCCCAAGTTGAGACGTTAAGATTTCTCGTCAGTGTCGAGGTAAAAGCCTCTTTGTCCAGACCTTAGACTACTCGCATTGTTCATAGTAGAAAGTATCCATCGGACCATGCCACTGCCAAATGGCACTGCCAAAATAGAAACGAAGAAGTCAACTAACTAAGTCGACTTAAGCTGAAGTCACATTTGAAACCGGGCCTGCTCGGCATGTTCTCGGTGTTGACGCCGAGCGGCGTCATGAAGCCCAGCATGCACCGGCTGTCAGGGGCACAATTAAATGTCCCTTTACGGCTCCCTGTCGGGGCACTGAGACGGCTTCTATTTGAAATTCAAAAAATTTTGGTCCCATTGACGGCCGGTTTCTGTTAGGGACCCGTCCTGTGCCCAGTCAGTCTCCCGTCTTGACCTGTGCGGGGTGCGGTAGGGTGCCGACGTCGCTTCGGCGTACCTTGCACGACGGGGCCCGGAGTGATTTTAAGTTTAAGATTTTAAGCTAAAATTAGGTTTGGCGACCGCGTGTTGCCAAAAATAGGCCGGCAGCCATCGGAAACCCCGCCAGTCTTCGTCCAGGTCCCGATCAGCAGTGCCAAAAACATGCCGATAACGCGCCGAGCGGGCCCCTTTCTTGAATTGTGACCTAGGCTTTAGTCGGTGATATTGCCTATATTACTATAATGTTAGTCCAATTGACTGACAACCACGAGTGGCTGACTCAGCCGTAGTCTTGAGATTTAGATTCAGATGCTATATTAAATCACGATGTTATGTTCGTGCTGTCTACGTTTCAACGTTCTTGCTTGAAAGAACAAAGGTAAAAACGCAGACAACCTATACTCGGGCAGACATTTCTTCCAGCTCGTTTGTTGCCCGGGTGCCATGGCGACATTCTTGGCAGACCGCCAATGTTGACGAGGCATGCGGACATCAAGGAGAAAAATCGGTACGATCAACATGCTAAAAACAAGAGGACTAGAAGTAATGATTTATATATAGCGAACATTTAACCGTCCACTATCTTATTATATAATATTTGCGTCATCGGCACGTTCAAAACTTGAATTCTTCGTCAGTATAATAATCATTATTTGACGTCATGGCTACACACCCAAAAATGAGAGGGTGCGTTGCCTTTGAGTCAGCGTCGGGGAATTTCTGTGAAGTTTTAGTAGGCATAGACGGCGTGACGTACAGGGATCATGCCAGTCTGTTGTCAGGGCTAGTTCACGGGCCATCCCCTCAGTTAGACCCTGAGCATCATGTTTGCAGTGGACGAAACAAAGCATGTCTGAATGGAAACTTGTTTACCCTCGAGCCAAGAAGCTAGCCTGTCCACTTGGTGACTTTGCCTCTCCCAGATAATTGTCCAATTACTGTACGTCCTACTCATACCACTCCACATCTAACCAATCATAATCGTTGGTTCACGGTGACTAACTGACTAATTATGCCGTACTGACGAAATAGTGGCTGGGAGATACCTGGGAAAACATCAATCTGTCAAAGTTAACAATTGACCATTGTCAGTCAGGAGGGCGTTGCAGACAAACATGGCGTCGACTGCGTGTGAATAACGTGTTAAAACCTCACGCCCGACTGCTTTCAATTAACACTTTTAAACCGTACTTTTAAATCAGTAAACACGTACATCACAAGTATGGGATAACAACTTGGCATCAATAATCAAGGCTATTTTGAATTAGTACTGTTCTGTGTTTATTTAGATACATGTAGTTGGTACGTTCAACTTGCAGTTGTGTTAAAATACAATACACGGCAATTCCTTGTTGCAAGTATAGGCACTGGTTCAATTGACTTATGGAATGGATTTTTTTGCATCGTTTCATTTCTATCTTTAGCATATGTTTGCTGCTGTTTATAAATATTCCCGCGTTGTACGATCAACAAATAAGGTACTGTGTGGCCTCATGCTTATGACCTGCCCGACAGCACCACCTTTCAATAAGAAACTACAGGGGCAGCGTGTTAAGCGATGCTCTTTTATCGTTTTGTGTACCAATGACATTATGAACCTGCAGACTAATAGTATGCAATCCTGATTTTTGCTCTGGGTTTAGGTGTTGTACGCTGACACGATGGCGAGTCCGTGTGCATCAGGGTTTTGGATGTGGGTGGTTATGGTGCTGACAGCAACGACTGCGACAGTCACCGGGCAAGGTAAACCTCAATTTCCATGGATATATATCCTTTAAACAATCCACCTTAAACTTTCAAATGTTTGGTGTTAGCGGATGTATACACTCAGTCAACAGTATAATTACATCATTCGTTAGTTTATACTAAAAGATAGTTGGTTAATGGCAAGAACACCTTTTATCAAGTCACCTATTCTCGTTTCCTTTTTTTCAACAGGTACGTGTCCAATAGCAGGCTATGCCAGTTTTAACGGAGTTTGCTACAAGGACTTCCCTGACCCGAAGACGTACGACGAGGCTAAACAGACGTGTGCCGCAGACGGGGGACTGCTCGCCATGCCGAAGAATAGCGCGGCCAACACTTACATCCACAATCTAGGAGGAGCAGGAGTACGCTGGATCGGGCTGACTGACACCGACAGGGAAGGCCGGTGGGTATTTGCTGACGGCCAAACACTTGCGTCATCCGGCTATACCAACTGGAACTCCGGTGAGCCAAACGATGCTGGCAGGATCGAAGACTGTGCCGAGTTGTATGGTTCCACGCACGGCTGGAATGATGCCCAGTGCAGCCTCGCCAAAGGATTCATCTGCCAGCTAGGTATGTGTTCTGATTTTTAACCCTAACGATTGTCACTAATGTTGGATAGCAACTTTATGTTTGGGGCACAATTTTCGTGTAAAACGTCACTCCTTTCAGTAAAGAAATGCCACAAGGCCAGTAGCCTAAAGCAATACCTGTCGAGATTTTGGGGGCTAACTTGTCATATTTGGTACCTATCCAGTCTTTACAGCCAATCCTCAATGGGTAGACGTTTTTTCAACCGTGAAAGGAACAGGACAGACTGTTTACGACGCCTGGAGAACTAATGGACAAGTCAGCCACAACAAGTGCCCAGTTGTAGACCAATGGGAATCGCTTAACATCCAGCGGGTAAGCTAGATCAGGTGTATCATCACTTAAGCGTAACGCAACCATTAAAAATAAGTAGAATTTTTGACAAACAGAATTGGATTGGAGCAGCTAAATCTGTCCTTAATAAGTAGAAATGCATGTAACTCAAAAATGAAGGGCGTTTTTTTTTCATCGGCACAGGAAGTAAAATTGTCGTCTTTTGCAGGTGAAGGTTGTGTTGGAGTCCTCCGAAGGAAATAGAGAGCTGATTTTTGATGGGAGGAACACTGACAGGTTCAACTGGTTCTCCAAGTCTCGTCTGCTCTCATCTCCTTGGAACGACATTAGCGCCGAGCCTCAAAACGTCTTCTCGATCGAAGGAAGCCAACATGTGAAAAGGTAAATCTTGAGCCTTTGAAATGTAAAATGTAAGCATTTCTCTTCTTTGCATGGAATTACCCGATTCGTAGTGAGTCTTCACGATGTCCATGGAATTAATTGTATTGAATAAAATACGGCTTTTTTTGTTGCAGGTCTTTTCACATCAATCGCAACTGGGGTGGTTGCCCCCAAGACGCTGGTTGGCTTGCGGTGGCCGACATCGGTCCGCGCGGAATATGCGAATGGGAGCGAGCTCCGGAAGATCAGCTGCCTTACATTCGCTTTTCTAAAACTACAGGCTACGCTAACTACAACGGTGCGTGCAGTACTTTGTTACTCCTATATATCTCCCTGAGCAGATGGGGCATTTTTATGTTGACTTTTCTTATCTGATGCTTTTGTGTTTTGGGTTAGCGTTAGGGTTTGGGCAGCAATAATAAACTGATTCTGTTACGGACCAAAATATGTGGAGAATCAATATTTTTTTCAGCTGTCTATACCTGCTGTTTTGAATACGTTAAAAGAACCAAAGGAGCCTGAGAGAAGATTTCTTGTCTGATTTCTCAAAATAGTATCATTATTTTACATAGGGGGTGATATTGCAACGGCCGATCGGATGGTCATCTACATCGACACGCCCGGAAAAAACGTGCTGTGCTCCTGCCCTGCTGGACAGTCTCTTAGTGAAGATGGCACCCGGTGTGAAGGTCAGTGGTTATATCATTACCCTGAGAAAATGTTATAATTCCATAATGGTAACTGCTTGGAATTCATGTTCGTTATGATGTGTACTGGCAAGTACGTAACTTGAATATGATACTAGTAATGTTTTGTTACAAGTGTTTTTGTCTATGTCGTGGTTAAAGCAGTTGGCGACGTCGTTTGGGTTGTAGTCTGTGTTGTTAGCGACACCGGTTGTTGTGCTGTTAGAAATCCAAATAAAGAGTTCTATTGTCGGAAAACCATAGGACTATATATAGCGACCTATTCTCGTTTCCTTTTTTCAACAGGGTGTCCAAAAGCAGGCTATTCCAGCTTAAACAGAGTTTGCTACAAGGACTTCCCTGACCCGAAGACGTACGACGAGGCTAAACAGACGTGTGCCGCAGACGGGGGACTGCTCGCCATGCCGAAGAATAGCGCGGCCAACACTTACATCCACAATCTAGGAGGAGCAGGAGTACGCTGGATCGGGCTGACTGACACCGACAGGGAAGGCCGGTGGGTATTTGCTGACGGCCAAACACTTGCGTCATCCGGCTATACCAACTGGAACTCCGGTGAGCCAAACGATGCTGGCAGGATCGAAGACTGTGCCGAGTTGTATGGTTCCACGCACGGCTGGAATGATGCCCAGTGCAGCCTCGCCAAAGGATTCATCTGCCAGCTAGGTATGTGTTCTGATTTTTAACCCTAACGATTGTCACTAATGTTGGATAGCAACTTTATATGTTTGGGGCACAATTTTTGTGTAAAAAAAAATACCCCTTCAAGGACAAAAATTGCCACAAAGCCAGTAGCCTAAAGCAATCATACCTGTTGAGATTTTTAAGGTAGCTGGCGATTCCATATATATATATATTTATATGAATAGAATTATATTTGGGGGCTAACTTGTCATATTTGGTACCTATCCAGTCTTTACAGACGATCCTCAATGGGTAGACGTTTTTTCAACCGTGAAAGGAACAGGACAGACTGTTTACGACGCCTGGAGAACTAATGGTCACAACAAGTGCCCAGTTGTAGACCAATGGGAATCGCTTAACATCCAGCGGGTAAGTTGCTGCTAGACCCGTGTGTGTGTGTTACTGTGTTTTGTTTTGTCACTTGTCCGTACATGTAGTTCGGTCAGCTACATCAGGTGCATCATCCCTTACGCGTAAAAAATAATTAGAATTTTTGACAAACAGAATTGGATTGAAGCAGCTAAATCTGTTCTTAATAAGTAGAACTGTATGCAACTCAAGAATGAGGGGCGTTTTTTTTCATCGGCACAGGAAGTAAAATTGTCGTCTTTTGCAGGTGAAGGTTGTGTTGGAGTCCTCCGAAGGAAATAGAGAGCTGATTTTTGATGGAAGAAACACTGACAGGTTCAACTGGTTCTCCAAGTCTCGTCTGCTCTCATCTCCTTGGAACGACATTAGCGCCGAGCCTCAAAACGTCTTCTCGATCGAAGGAAGTCGAAATGCGAAAAGGTAAATCTTGAGCCTTTGAAATGTAAAACTTCGTATTAAAGCATTTCTCTTCTTTGTATGGAATTACCCGATTCGTAGTGAGTCTTCACGACGTCCATGGAATTGTATTGAATAAAACACGGCTTTTTTTGTCGCAGGTCTTTTCACATTAATCGCAACTGGGGTGGTTGCCCCCAAGATGCTGGTTGGCTTGCGGTGGCCGACGGCGGTCCTCGCGGAATATGCGAATGGGAGCGAGTTCCGGAAGATCAGCTGCCTTACATTCGCTTTTCTAAAACTACAGGCTACGCTAACTACAACGGTGCGTGCAGTACTTTGTTACTCCTATATATCTCCCTGAGCAGATGGGGCATTTCTAGGTTGACTTTTCTTATCTGATACTTTTGTGTTTTAGGTTAAGGTTAGGGCAGCAATAATAAACTGATTCTTTTACGGACCAAAATATGTGGAAAATCGCTTTTTTTTTCAGCTGTCTGAGCCTGAGCCTGAGTCAAGATTTCTTGTCTGATTTCTCAAAATAGTATCATTATTTTACATAGGGGGTGATATTGCAACGGCCGATCGGATGATCATCTACATCGACGCGCCCGGAAACAACGTGCTGTGTTCCTGCCCTGCTGGACAATCTCTTAGTGAAGATGGCACCCGGTGTGGTCAGTGGTTATTATCGGTTATTGCATGGACATCTTGGCGGGTTTTCTGGTATAACGTCCTGTGATTGTTTCTTTCGTCCTGAACATAATGTTGATTTTGTGGCTGATTCATCCTAGCAGGCTACCATCTAGTTTTGTAACTGTAAATCCTGTTTTTCCTTCAAAGAGGATAACTCATGATCAAGAAAGGAACGACGGATTTCAATGATTTGTGGGCATGCAGGTACATGTAGTATAAAACAAATGCGTGGTAATCGGCCTGAATTGTGTGATTGTCATCCTATTCTTTTCTCCCCATTCCTCGATGATTGCTATAGATGTGAAAATGAAGAAAGCAAGAGAGAGACAGAACCTTTGAAGTTTTCGAAAACCTGGGTATTGTAGTATTTTAGAAATTGATCAGTTGGTCGGCAAGCACAGCCAGGTAAAAAATATGTATCTAGACTGTCATGCTGTTTTTGTCAAGCATGATTTGAACCTTTTTTTTATTAATAATTTCCACAGAAGATGGTTAGTCATAACCTTTTGTCAACTAAGAAACACTTAGAATATATTTCGGGGTACTTTTGTTTTCAGGACAGAAAAATGGAAAGTTAAACCAATTATCGAATTGTTAGCGATAGACTAGGCTATCCAAACCTGCTCAATCCACGTCTTACAATCGTGTCGTTTTCTGCAGAATGCGCGGAAGAAAAAGCCATCTGCTCTGCATGGGGAGATCCACACTTCACGACATTCGACGGAAACACACATCATTTTCAAGGTCCTTGCAGATACACGTTCGCCAAGGACTGTGGAAACAGCAGCGATTTTGATGTAGAAGTACAACAGGTTCCATCAACCTGGAACCCAACCGTTTCATACGTGCGTTCAGTGTACGTGACAGCATACGGGTACGAAATCGGGATTCTTCAAGGCAAAGTTGTGACAGTAAGTGGTTTCATTACCTCTGGGTTCGGAGGTATTGTTTGTCAGTGTGTGATCTGTTTGCTTGTGTGTCTGTATAGTTGAGTGGTGCTAGCGGGTGTTGAGGGTCTAAAGCACAGAAAGTAGCAAGGTAATGTCTGAAGCACTGACCAAGAGATAGTACAAAATTGGCCGGCGTCTGTTGGCTGGGTGCTAGTGGGAAAATACACCGAGGTAGCCCAAAATTCACAATAATGAAGAAAACGAGAAATTCTTTAAACTAGGCCTGTTGATAGTACTACAAATCATCTCTTTGGTTTTGCCCAAAGATCCACAGAAATTCGAGCTACTTACAAAAAAAATGTCATGTGGAATTAAAATCAACGTTTTCTTGTCTTTGCAATATAGCCCCCGGAAGGGAGAAATGGCTACTTCTCTGCAAAATCACGACGTTTGCTTCCTGTTGAAATGATAGTCCGGAGTATCGGCAACATGTTAACAGGTTCAGTGTAAAGATTCCATGTATATAGTCTTCACTCTGAAACTGTCCAGCAAATGCATCACTGGCAAAATTTTGGTACTGTCTTGTGATGTCACAGGACTTTAGACAAACTTCACTGTTACACCGCTTCGTGATAACAAACTGCAATGTTTTCCTTCAACAAGGTGACAGGACCGCCGCCCACGCCTCCCTTCACCGCCACGCCTCCCTTCAGCCTAGCAACGGGCAGGATCGAGGTCACCCTGAGCGGCATGTATGTCCGAGTAGAGCTGACAGAGTTGTGCGTGGTGATTCTCTACGATGGGGTTGAAAGAGTTGAGGTCAGTACCTTTTAAGTTAAGTCAGATATGTTCACTTTGACACGGTGTAAAGCTGCAGTGCTGGGTTCTCCATTCTTATAAGTTGTGTACAGTACAGTCAGCTTTATGGAGTCTGCATTAATGTTTTTATATGAATAGTGATTCTCCGTTAGTAAATACTGTACTGTAGCAGGTATCTTAAAGGATAGGTAACAACTCTGATATAACACTGCTACAGGTGAAGATTCCGAGTAGCTACCAGAATATGATGTGTGGACTGTGCGGGAACTACAACGGTATAAGGAACGATGACTTTGAGTTACCGAATGGAAACATCGTCTCGAACGTGAATGAGTTCGGGAATGGTTGGGAGACCGGCAGCAATGCGTATGTTACTTCCATATAAGCTATCCATGTCTAGATATGTTAATTGTAGAAAATTGAAATAACTTGAACTCGAAAATGACGCTTTTTTTGTTCAGCTATGACATGATTATCAATATGTGCCCTCTACCGCTACTCATGTTTCCTTTTATGCGAAGCTGCATGTGACATAGCTAATCATTGTCACTAAGTACCATCAAGATAAAATTAAATCCTTTCGTTATGTTGTTCACATACACACATACACAGATACACAGCCCTGAAACAGCCCTTAGGTACTAGGTGAAGGTAATAATGGAACACTTTGCACTATTTGAATATACCACTTTACCATTCACAACCCAATACCGTTAATATTAATGGCAATTATAAAAACAAATGTGAGAAAGTACGCATAGGTTAATACTTCTTATCTAATTACAGTTGTTATCTATTACAGTTGTTCTGGTGACCGTCCTACCGGTGAACCCCCGACTGAAGGACCGTGTGACCCGAACTATACGGACCCGTGTAACGTGCTTACAGACACAAACGGTCCGTTTGCTGCTTGCCATGGCGTTGTGGATCCTCAGATTTACTTGAACAGCTGCGTCTTCGACCAGTGTGCAACGCAGGGCCAAGGAGGGTTCCTCTGTGCGAACTTGAAGGCTTACTATGCCACCTGTAGGGGCGCCGGCGTGTCTCCGTTCGATTGGAGGACGCCAGACCTCTGTCGTAAGTTCAGTTTCCAAACTCTATTAACTGTTGTGTGTTCCAGACCTTCGTACAGATCTATGAAGAAAAAACCAATCGTACAGCTACCATGGCACAAACTGTGCCGTAGACTATGAATGGATGGTTCATTGATAACGACAACAACGACATTGTATTTCCTGCTGTAAATGTAGTTAAAGTTCTGTATTCTCAAAAATCACCTGAGTTGAACTCTTTGTCTTCGATAGCTATGGATTGCCCAGCAAACAGCGCGTACTCATCGTGCGCAAGCGCCTGCCCTGCGACATGCAGGAACCCCAGCGCCCCAGACAACTGCAACCTTCCATGTGTAGAAGACTGCGGGTGTGATGTAGGTTACGTGCAAAGTGGACAGGATTGCGTACCTCAAGAGGACTGTGGTTGCACCGACGATGATGGATACTACCATACGGTAAAAACTAAATTATTGTCAATGTAAAAGTATTCACCACTCTGAATATATATGTAAGCCATCTGATACAGATGACTAATATATATACATACAATTTCTCTCCATCACTGCAAATCTAGGTTTCTTTGAAGAATGTTAGCTTATAATATACATTAAGTCATAAAGTTTTCAGGCAGGCAGAGGTAAAGTAAAGTACGTACAATTCTAAACCAATGCGGGAGGATAATGACGTATGCTGGACATGACATAACGTTGCGTCTAAACTTTATTTTCTTTTCATACCCTTTTTAGCTTGGAGCAGTTTGGGTTGATAGTGGTGAGAAATGCGTATGCAACGCAGGTGACACGATAGTCTGTAAAGGTAAGAGAACTAAAAATGAGATTCTAACAATATATCTGTTACGTATGGATTAACAAATAATACTTTTTGCTTTGATTCGATAAGATTCCATTTCATGTGTTCCTTGTCGTAGATGGTAGCATTCGAAAATGGTGAGCAATGCATGTAAATATTGCTTTGAGTTTGACTGCCCTACTTAAGCACTTAAGCAAATAATAATCAAAGGAAATATTTTTGGGGCACAATTTTCGTGTAAAAACCACTCCTTTAAGTAAGAAAATGCCGTCTCACCACAGACCACAATGATTGATGGTGAAGCAATGTCACCCTCATATATAATCTCCATATATCTTCTGTCGTTGTAGTTGTAGTTGACGGCGGTTGGACCGACTGGGGCCCATGGTCAGGCTGCAGCGTGACGTGTGGAGTCGGGACGGAAACTCGGGACAGAACCTGCACCAACCCTGCACCAGCAAATGGAGGGGCAGACTGTGACGGACCAGATCAGGAGACACGGCAATGCGACACGGGGGTGTCTTGTCCAGGTAACTAAGTTATACTGCTGTCAACACGGAGATGTATACTTCTGGTCTTGAAATAAGTTACTTAACCTGCTTTTCGGACTATGCATGGATACAACTAGCAGAAGTTATTATACTCCGTCAAAAGGGAGAAGTTTAAGTATTCCGAGATACATTAAATGTTACTTTATCTCCAATTAGTTGACGGCGGTTGGACCGACTGGGGACCATGGTCAGGCTGCAGCGTGACTTGTGGAGTCGGGACGGAGACTCGGGACAGAACTTGCACCAACCCTGCACCAGCAAATGGAGGGGCAGACTGTGATGGACCAGATCAGGAGACACAGGCATGTGACACGGGGGTGTCTTGTCCAGGTAACTTAAGTTTTACTGCTGTCACCTTAGATCTAAAGATCAAGGTGTAAGATTCTGATCTTAAAATAAGTTATTTTACTTGTTTTTTGGACTATGCGTGGATACCAACAATGTCTATAGACCTCCTACAAAGGGAAACAATTTCAGTAAATTTGATGTATATGATGTATTGCCATGTAGATGACGGCGGTTGGACAGACTGGGGCCCATGGTCAGGCTGCAGTGTGACGTGTGGAGTCGGGACGGAGACTCGGGACAGAACCTGCACCAACCCTGTACCAGCAAATGGAGGGGCAGACTGTGATGGAGCAGATCAGGAGACACGGCAATGCGACACGGGGGTGTCTTGTCCAGGTAACTAAGTTATGCTGCCATGGATCATTTATCAGGAGATGTAAGATTCTGATCTTAAAAGCAGTCATTTCCCTGCTTTTGGTCATAGCTATGGAGGTCATAATAAGAATTGCTTGATGCTTACAACTAGCTATGTGAAATGTGTATTGGGGAATGTGTATCACAAGGGATGTCGGAATGGGTTTATACCCCCCCCCCCTCCCCCGAAAGCCAGGTAAACCATTTTCAGTCTTGACCTTCTTTTTCGCAACCTCCACTCACAAAATATCATTAAGATCCATCCACAACTTCTCGAGTTATGCTGTTGATATACATACAGATCCAGACCACGACAAGTCCACCATGGCATAACCGAAAACATAACCTTCTTGTTGAACCTAATATGTTAGTGGTCAAGTGTTAATTTGCAGTTTGCTGATTGTTGAAAGCTTCCTGACGGACTGATATCTTGCAGATTCCCGTTGCTCCATTAAAACAACGGACACCACCTACCGATACCGATGGGATGTGCCCCAGCTTACGGGAACGCGCTTCACGTTTGAAGTATCAGTCAACAACGATGCCCACATCGGCCTGTCACCAGTTAACAACGATGTTGCAGACATGTATGAAATCGTCATCGGCGGGTGGACGAATACAAGATCAGCCATACGCCGAATACCGCAAGGCCCCGACCTCACAAATGTCCCGACACCAGGTCGGTCTTTGCTTTTCTTTTTGAATCACGTTGTTTTGAAAACTAACACTGCCATCCTATTTTATCAAAACTATCAATGCTTATAGTATACAAGCCTGGTCTTTAAACTACAGGCTGGAGGACCCTGGGTCCTGTCATAAACAGGTACTCCCCACTGTGGTTTCTCCAGCAGCTTGAATAGTGAATTGGCCCCCATAACCACACAAACTAATAAACATCCTAGACGGTCCAGCCACCACAATAGTCAGGGATATAATGAGGCCTGGTAGTTTACGTTAGCCGAATTTATTGGGTGCTTATATAGTACAAGCCTGGTATTCCGTCGCTGCATATCTTGAAATGGTAAACTGATGGTTGATTTTCCACAGCTATCAACTCGCCAACGGAATTCAGGACCTTTTGGATCAACTGGGCTTCAGACGGAACCATTTCTGTCAGAAAGGGGGGTGTCGCTGAGCCGTTTATGTCGTGGAGGGATCCCAACCCGCTTCGCGTCTCCTATGCTGGGTACTCTACAGGCTGGGGCAGCACTGGGCGTTGGAAGTTCTGCTCTACCGAAGGTCAGTCTTCAGTTATTGACCTCCATGAAATGGGAGGTTACTGTTTTTGGTCTGGGTGATGTTTTATTGTATATTATACTAGTATCTCAAGATCCGTCGGACGGAATGGGAAGAGAGAAAAAAGAAAGAGAAATAAAGAGATTCTAGGTATTACCAATAACGGGAGGTTTCTGTTGTAGTAATGGTTACAGTCTAGTCCATTTGCGACGTTTCATTAAGCAATATACCATACATTTCCAGGGATCTCGGGGCTGACCATCGACGATGCCGGAATTGGTCATCTCATCGTTTCCTGGACAGTTGTGGGGAATCTTCCGGTCTCGCGCTACAGGCTCCGCTACCAGCCGGCAGACGGGTCGGTCTCGTACCAGGACCTCTCCCCCGCACCAGAAGTGGGAGCTACCTTGGCAACGGTACAGGGACTGCAGCCAGACACTGAATACACCTTCACGCTGACTTCTTTCGACGAGGATGACCAGCCAAACGGGGAGATCAACGGCACATACACCACAGGTGAGTGATGTGAAAATACTGATGCAGTGAACGTTGGGCCAAAGAGGGGTTTGTCCTACAGTGAATATAGAACTTAATGGTGAATCATTGGTCAATATTGATACATTGTAAGGAATCCCGCTTCTGGATCAGAAGGTTAGGGGTTCGAATCCAAAATCACCATTGTTTGGGATTTTGAATGTAACTGTTTCTTACTTAGGGTTGATGTTAATCATTTAGTTAAAAAGGAATCTTCTCCCTGTATACCAACATGGTTATACATAGTGAAAAGGGAAACAACATACTGTTTTTGTTGTTCCAGATTCGGTTGTGGTGAACGTACAGTGCGACCAGGACAGTATGAGTCTGTCCATCCCCCGTGCGGCACTACTGGCTGTGAATGTGGAGGACCTACACCTGCTGGACCCGGACTGTGGAGCCACTGAGGACGAAGATGTCTTTAAGTTAGAGACACACCTTCAGGAGTGCGGAACCAGACAGGAGGTGAGACAGATAACCCTTACTTCTTTCCAACCTAGAGTGTTGTTAACTCAAGTGTTTATCTTTTTGTGACCTACTGTAAAATGGCATCGGCTAAGTGGACATGGTCCGAAACAATTTACTCCGATTAAAATCCCGTGAATAGTTTCACTTAAAATTGTTCTGTATACATGACAGGTATCTATTTTTAAGTTCTGCGCTTTATCCCTTTTTAATTGATGCATCTTTGGATTGCCGTGCTTCTTACATTTCCTCAGACCTCAGGAGATGACAAATTCATCTTCTCCAACGAAGTCATTGCCAACCAAGTGACTCACGACAACGGCGCTGTGCGTGGCCAGCCGGTAAACCTGCCCTTCCACTGTGAGTTCCTCCGTCAGCGCGTTGTCTCGGGCAGAGCCATCATGTATAACATCCCCCCTCCTCGGTAAGGCCCTGCCTTGTGGTCTAATCATGCTTAAGACTTGTATATTTGAAGCAACTTGATACGTAGAATACAGGCTTTTGACGTACTGCCGAAAGGAACGACGTGTCGTTAATGCCTCTTTTATATTATCAAACAGGGTTAAATAAACGGGATTGTACCCATCAAGTCAAGTGTGTGGACAACTCAAAGACTATCGCTCTTTGGCAAACAGCAGTTTTTTTTTACCCAGGAATAATTTTCTATTCTCCATTGTTTGAACTAATCAGATTTGAAAGCTGTTAACAATGCAAAGTAATTAAGGATTCAGGATTCAAGTTCACTACATCTTTAACCAGCTCTTGCAATCTCCTTGCAGTCTTCGAATCGTTGACGCGAACAACAGTTTCACCATAGAGATGCACATGTACACTTCGGAAGACTTTGTTGCAACCTATGAGAGTTCTGACTTCCCAGTTCAGGTCAGAAAAGTTTACCTTTCTTCCTATTGTCATTTTGTAGTCTGACAATGATACCTATGGAAACTACCAATCAGATACCGGCCTAGCACTTGAGTAATCTTGACTGCATGTCGTTAGACCGGATGAACTAAGAAAGAGACTGCTCTTGTACCCACAGGTCGTACCATCTGACCGTCTTCACTTCGGCCTGAGTGTTGCGTCACCGCTGGACAACCTGGAGCTGTTCGCCCGTGACTGTGTCTCCACCCCCACCACCAACCCTGACGACACTCCTAGCGTCAACATCATCGACGATGGGTACGCTTTGACTACATGTGCTTAAATGTTTAATTACTTGGTTGGTTGGTTGGTTGGTTGGTTGGTTGGTTGGTTGGTTGGTTGGTTGGTTGGTTGGTTGGTTGGTTGGTTGGTTGGTTATTTATGCAATATAATTATGGCAATCACAGGTTACCTTTCAGTATGAGAGACCTGGATCTCGCTACAAATGATTTGTACCCCCTGACTTTGCAGCTGTCAGGTTGATCAGACTCTACAGAAGGACGATGACCTTTCTAACGACAAGGCCCTGTACTACAGCGTGGACGCCTTCACGTTTCCCAACGCTCTCAACCCCAGCCTGGTAGAAGACGTTTTAAAAATGTCACTTTTGTGGTGACTGGTAGGTGGGGACGCTACAGAAGGTTAAATGGTTGGTGACTGTTAAAGTGGATGATATGATACATATAAATGGCGACAAACTCTGCTAAAAAGTTATCAGAACAGAGCATCATGAGTTTGAAAACATACCAACAAGTGGTGGGTTGTACTATTCTGGGACAGCGAATACACAACCATATTATGCAGGTTTGGTTTGAGGTGGAGGTTTGAGAGGTATCGTAAGTGCTGTTCCTCAATAACATATTTCATTATTCCGCAGGTGTACTTCCATTGCACCATGATCATCTGCTTCAAGGACGACCCTGACTCTCGGTGCAAACAGGGCTGCATTCCACCAGCACGGCGCAGACGAGCCGTCTCGGACGGGACGGAGGGCAGGGTTCGCCGGGAAAGCAGCAGGGACCACGAGGCAAAAATCACCCAAGGACCGTTCAAGGTGCAGTCCGGAGAAGGAGCAGGTGCGTGATGAAATACGTTTCCGCGAGCAGTAAGGAAGACAGAAAATTAAGTAATTTTGGGAAGGATTCCTAATGCAGCTAGACATACATATATCTCAATGTGTTCCTGAAACTTACGTTCCTGAAAATATAGTAGGATCTGTGCAAGCATTGTTTGCATTTTTTTCTAGATGCTGCTTACATTGTGCTTGTATGGGATCTTTGCCTTCGTCTTCGATACTTGATGGTGAGAAAAATGTGTGAGAAAAAAGTGAAGATAGAAGCAAACTTTAGAATATAAGCAAGGCATTAGAATGGTTTCTCGTGTTCCACAGGACCAGCTGGAGTGCCGCTGGGTACCGCGGTGGGAGCGGCTGTTGGAGTTGCCGGGATCATGGTGCTTCTGATCGTGGCCGTGGTTCTGGCGAAGAAACGGGGCGGCCTGACCTTACGGAGGAAGAAGCGTGATGACGACACTGTCGGTAAGTCCCTACAGTAACAGACTTTATGTCACAATTAATGTTTGTGACCAATTTCAATCAGTTAAACGTGAATCGAAGTCATTTTTCATCAACTGCATCGGTTATTGTGCATGTTATCTCTCATTCAAGGAAGAAAAGTAGAAAAGATGTTTTCTGGCAAATCGTTATCAGAACAAAATGCTCAATTTATCTCTCTTTGGACGCCATTTATGACAGCATGTCTGTGTGGCCTTATTATGGGTCTGTACTGGATTGTGGCGCCGTTTTGATTAGTGGATTTTGTTTTCTCTGTTAGGACTTGACAACTACGCATACCAGGCTTGGGGAAAGATGAACAAGACTGGCATTGCTGACACCAAAGCCTAGAGTCTCCTTGTACCAGGACCAACATACAGAAACAATGTAGAATTCTTATAAGCTTGCCTCTTATCTTGACTAGCCTCCTTGCAGCAGGTTCTACAACTGGGCTTTTGGGGTAGCCTTCATAGTGCGCTTTTTTCCTTCTGTCATGTCACTTCTGTTTGTGCCGGGGTTCTTTTGGCGGCAAAGCTAAGGAGGCTAGATTTTGACAGGATTCGTAATAGCAAATCTTCTTCAGTTAATTGACCTATCATATCAGCATATCAAGCATCAGACCAAAAGCAGTAAAGACTCAACATCTATACTAAGAGACAGGCTAGGATTGGGAACCCACTAATCATCAGATTAACCGTTGCAGCACATGATTAACATATAGAATAAAAGGCATAGTAGGAGACTTTATAGCAGCAGTAAATGTATTCATCTTTTAAAGTAAACTTAAAGACGATTTATGGAAGTCTATAATCATACCAACAATAGTGATAGCCATCTACACTTAGACAGTGTATATAGTGAACTATCATCATACCAATTTTAGTGTAAGCTCCCTGGTGATACTTCATGGTGGATGTATTACGCTGAAAGTTAACTATTGGCTTTTTTAATATTTAAGAGCTCGGATTAGACAGCAAGCATGAACTTATTTTGAGATATCTTGATGTTCTACACTGCTAAATTTGGGTGTAATAATGCACTAATAGTGTCGGCTCAAATGTAAGAATGCAGTAAGCTTTGAGATCATGTTACTGTAGTATAGTCTCTCCATCTAAACTTCAACACAGTGTCGTGAACTTTATCACCAGTCATCAATAGTCTCTCCATCTAAACCTAGACAACGCAGTTAACTTTATCATCATACAACAGCAGTATACTTTTAGGCTCTTTATATCAACTTAGAGACACTGCCTTTTTACTGTCATACGAATAGTTGTTTACGCTCTGTAGTGATGCTTAGTAGAGCTTGGATTAGATAGCAACCATGGACTTATTCGGACGCCCTAATGTTCTGCTTGCGTGCTGCTAGGAGACTCTGCTGGTGCATAGGAAGGCTGCACAGCTTTCTCTTACCTTTAAATTGACTGTTTCTCCTGCGACTCAGTAGTTGGTGATTTCTATTACTAAAGCATATGGAAGCCTCCTCTCTTCTAATAAGCTTATACACAAAATCTCTTTTGCTATTTTCTTATATTTTAGAATCTGTCTATATTTAAGGTATACACCTTTCTCTCTTTAGTTCCTTACTTGCAGCTTAATCGCGGTGGAAAAAATGGGGTAATGTGACAATGACTCAATTTGCAGAACACGGGGTTCAATGTGACAAAGTTCACTTATCAATTCATATTACTATTAGAATTTTATCAATAACACTTATAGTACATCATTTCTGTGCCAATGTTGTACTCGAATCTGGATTAGTGCCTTTTACGTGCACGTTTTAAAGGGGGGAATGAGCCATCGTTGTCTGTAAACTCTTTGTACACATAACGTACATCTACACTGAAACACACATTCGTATCAACATTACGCTAAGCATCTACTTTGGAATTTAGTAATGTTCTTGACAAGTAAACTGTTGTCTCTTGATCACTGTGTTGTAAGATGTAAATTGGCAAGATGCACTGTATCGTGTCTTGTAATGAGACAAGGAAACATCTGGAGTTCCGTACATACGGAATAAAGCGGAGTCATGGGGTCACATATCTGTTGTCTGTGTCTTTTTTAACCATTCACTGACTGTAACACTGTTATATCCGGCCGCACATGTCTTATCACAGAAAAGATAGTGACATATTTCAAGACACTGTATTTTTGTAAAACAGGCTGGCTATTTTTTCAAACTTTAATTTGACATTTTCTGGCTCAAGGTTTTCCGGGATAGAGCGTCCTCCTATAAGGCTTGCAGTCACTTAAGGCTACCTAAAACATATTATAACTGTTCTAATCATAATTTCTTTCCAGCTGACAATTAATAATAATTCTCTGCTAGATGGCGGAAATCAACCGTTGTAGACCTCAACATTGTATGTTTTTATTGTCTGTGCCTGCTCATTGATACACAGTCAAACCTGTACAAGTTACCACCTCTACATAAGAACAAGCTGACCATTGATATACAGTCAAATCTGTACTGCTACTAGTGACCAGGACATCCTGGACATTGATACAGCCTTACCTGTACTATGCACTGTGACTTTTACACGGCTGTGTACAACAGCTGGTCTAATTTAGCCTGATAACCACAACTACTTTAACCCTCAAAATCAATCCCCACAGAAAATAATGTCTCTCTGCTCAAAATTTCGGACTAGTTTGTGTCAAAATAACACAAAGGTAGTGTCAGCAGCAATAAGTATTCAATTTGTTCAAAGTATAGTAGCCGGAATATGCTAATTCAATCAGCCTCGACACTACATGTTTCCATGCAAGCGGTACCTGTCCTTGGTACTGAACGCCATCCTCATAGTAAAACACACAGTATGTATGGTGAAGACCACACAGTACAGGGACTTGTTAAAGCCGGCCAAACCTTACGGAAAAAAATGGCATGCACTTGAGGAAGGTAGGAGTGGAACTGTCAACGGTCTACCATAAATTCACAATGGTAGCGGCTACATGTTACGTTGCATTCGGGCAAGCTGATTCCGCCTACATGAAAATCCAGGCACTAATATAGCCAATTGTACGCTTTTCATAGACTGCACCGATTACATACGCTACATGCTGTTGTATATGAACCATTTGGTCGTCTGGCTACGAATTATGTGATATCAAAACGGCCTATTACGCCCCAGGCTTGCAGGCATTCTTCCTAACAAGTTTACGTGCAAACTGTGCCTGTCCTTGGTGCTGAACGCCATCCGCACAATGTTTAACACATAGTGTGGTGAACACTACACGCGCACTCGCTTTTTGAGCGTCCATGAAATACAGGAACTTTTAAAAGTTTGACAAACCCTACGAAAAAAATAGGTATGCTTTTAAGGGGATTAGAGGTCGTATTGTAAATGCTCTACTCCAAATTCACAACGGCTGCGGCTAACGTTATAACGTTATATTCGGACCAGCTTGCTCCGCCTAAATCCAGGCATCATCGCTGCAACACCGGGGACAGGCCTACACTGAATAGCTTTATCTTGTTTGTTATGTTGGAAACAAAGCACCGTTGAAACTTCTTTAAGTACAATACTAGTAATCTTTATTATATGTACTGAGAGTTATATGTGCACTCAATGTAATTATAACCTTCGGCCTCGCCCGCCAACGTAGTGTCATGCCCCTGGAAATATCTACTTTGAGATTACCATTGTCAGACGAATATCGTCATTGTAATTTTCAAGTACTACAATTACCCCCTACATTCAAATGCTAGTCGCTACTAAACACAATATTATACCTGCAACTATCAATTTGACATTAAAACGTTCAACCAGGCTACGTTTACATTATTCCTTTTCAGTATTGTTCCTTTAAATAACACATTAATAATTATCATTACGTCAAATAAATTAACAAGTTTCACGTTATCTTCAATGGTCTTCAGACAGTTATGGAATATCACATTACACCTAAACCGTAAGACATTACGTTATACCCATTGTCACTCAAGGCAACAATTTGGAAATTTGATGCTGTTTTGGTAGGTGGGTGTTATTTGCTTGTAAGGTCCATTCTACATTGTAACATTTCAATGTTAGTTTACGATGTAAACGTGATTTAAATGTGACGAAGATGATGATGAAAGTGACACAAGTGACATATTGTTTTAGTCATGGCTAAGGAGAAACATAGTGAATATGATGCGTCCATTGTCCTTGACCCTGCATCCATATTTATTGTCCATGTTCCTTTTGGCCATTTTAAATGTTTTCAAAGTCTTGAAAATTCTTGCTATTTACAAATATTTTAAACAGTGTCACATATTACACATTATAGTGCATTTTGTACTTTTCACGGAACAGTCTTCACATGCCCATGTGCCATCACTAGGAGGGCTGACTGGCAGGCAGCTGACGTGAAAGATCCTCTGGCATGCCCTGCACGCCTCCACCCTTCCCAGACCCTCCTCCTGCTTGCAGCGGCAAACCAGTGAGATTCTGCTGACCCTGGTTAGACCGACTTTCTTCCTGTGGCTGCTTAGATGAGGAAACCGTGTGAGCCTCCCTTGTTTGAAGCACATCACCAAATGGCTCCTCATCTTCCTGTCGTCATACGCAATGCTGCTCACGTCTCGCCCCTCTGCGATGTCGACTGCCCAGGCGATGGCAAACATCCCACAATCAACGACATTCTTCTGACGCTGTACCTCTGGTAGGATGATGGTCAGGACGTTCCTCTCTTGGTCGGCAAACGCGCCGTAAGACTGGTAAAGCTGAATCTGCAGAGATGTGGTCATGGCGGCGCCGAGGCTGTCATACAGGCGCACCTGTCCGTCTGTGTAACAGGACAGAACCCAGTGCTTTCTGCTGTTGTGGTGGATTTGTAGCCCCCTTCCTGTCATATTGGCAAATCCATCCTCACAGAGACCAACTACAGGGTCTTCCAGGCCTTGGAGTGCCGGGTAATGGTGGTGGAGCAGTCTCTGGGCAGCCTGGATGTGGTCGTCTGTCAGCATCTCGTCGCTTGTCAGGGCCACCTTGTCACCAGCACTCAAGTTGACACTTGGCCTCCCCACTTGATACAGAGCAATTTGACATCTGTTGACAGACTTCTTGCCACTTTTTTCCTCATTGGATAGGATGGACTCCATGGCTTGCTTGGTTTGGTGGCTTTCCTGAGTGACATTTGGCAGAGACCCGGATGCCACCACCACTGGCGCCTTGCTGTCGGAGCAGATCGCTTGACTGCTGTCGTCTGTGCGGTTATTCTGGGATGCAAGACGAACCGCGATGATGCGGCAGCCTCTTTTGGGGACATGAAGTTGCACTGCTGCAGCATCGGGAACATCTTTGACAGTCGGAACAAACTCAGGCTCTGTGGGGAGGTCTACGTCCTTCATCCTGTGAGGATACAGGTGGTGAGAAGTTTCTAAAGTGTTCATCTTCAACCAATAACACTACGTTTTAAGCCTATTTTAACTGTTCGAATTTCTAAAAATATTGTACGTCGACTGTTAATGTTCAACAAATATCTGGTATCAAATTTCAAGGCTATTTTAGTTACTGTGACAGGAAGATCACTATTAAAGGGCCTTGATCGTGCTCAAGTACCATTTTCGTACTTACTTGAGGTTAAAGAGCAACTGCCTCTGCAGCCACAGTTTCTCCACTTTAATCTCCACCTCGACCAGGCTGTCATGAAGAGTGTCCAAGTAGTTGTTATCTGTGTCGATAGAAATGCTTCAGTCAGTTTTCTTTATTTACAGATAACAAAAACCATTTTAAAACAATGCTGAATATGAAAAAAAACATCCAAGGCCTTCCTGTATCTGAGAATATGTATGATGACAATTGCTATCATAATGACATAGTATGATGCATTGCAAACAAAATATAATCAAATGCAAAGTATACAGAGCTTACAATTAGGGGGAATTACAGAATTCTATCTGTTAAACCAAGGACTACGCTACCTGTGACGGGCACTTCCCAGAAGCCGAAGAAGGCCGTGAAGCGTTCCCACAACCCCTGGGTGAAGTACTCGTCCACCTCTGACATGTTATGGTTCCGCGCATTGGGAAGGGCGCTGTCGATGATAGCCATAGCAATGTTCATCAGCACCAGGAAGATGTTGCAAATGAAAGCGATGAAGTAGATGGTGCCGAGGATGGGGGCTGCCTCCCGCAGCTCGTGGTAGTAGAAGTTTCCAAGAGACATCTGGAACAGGGTGGAGAAGGACTTGCTGATGGTGCTGAAAAGAAATAAAAGTTAAATCTTTATAAGGATAACCTGGCTTTCAAGCAGTCACAAGTTTTCGACCCTTACTGAAGTACTGAACTTAATTATGAAAATAGATGTAATGTATTTGACAGAAATGTTTCTTTACCTGTAGTCGGTCACAGTAAGGCCGAACAGGAGATGAGCACAGACGCCGAATGCTGCCTGATAGAGGAAGAGGTAGATTGCGAAGTAAGCGAACTCCACCTTCATCCCTCGGAGCACGGACATCAGCTTGGCAAGGAATGGGTTGAACCTCAGCAGCCGGAGGAACTTCAACATGGTGACAAACGTCAGAAAGGCCAGGAACCAGCCGAAAGCCAGGCTTACGTTCACCGCAGATTGGAAATAGTGGACATCATCTATAGAATAACAAGATGTTAGATGCCGTAATTAGTACGGTGGTGAATAATTAACTGCCTTCTAATCAGTCTGAGAATGTTGCGCTTGTTTTCAAATGGTGAGCATGTTAAAGTCAAGTTTCAATATAATATGTATAATTTTTTTTGCAAAAATATGAAACACACCTTTCCCAACATTGATCGTTGCCAGACCCTTGAAGCTATAGGTTCTCTTGAAGCCGTACAAAGTGATGACAGTGAATGCCAAGAAGAAATTGAAGATTTCGACAATATTCCATGGCTCCCTCAGGTAGGCCAAGCCGGCTGCACGAGCAGTATTCATCTCTTTCCAGAGTGTGTAGAGGAGAATGATAACGTAAATGATTTCCAGCAGGACGTAGATGTACCCGATGGTCCCCGGCCGTTGATGAAGTCGGAAGGCCTGCACGCGATGATGGGTGAAAACTCCGGCCGTCTCGGAGAATTCAAACACCATCGTCAGCGATGTGAACAGATCCAGGTTTCCGTCGTAGAGCAACGCTTCTAAGAAGATGGCCCTCGTTCGCTTGTCGATCCAACGGTTAGCCTTCAGCTCGGCCAGGATGCTGCGCATCTCGTCTGCAGATTTTCCCAGGTTCAGCCCGAAGCCGTCTCCCCAGTACCGTGTCGTCACACCGTAGATGGGGAGACTGGGGTATGCACTGGGGAGGTGGGTCCATCCAGGGGCTTCTGACTCCATCGCTGACGTATTCCAGACCCTTTCCCAACCCTTCTGAAACGCCCCGGTCTCCTTTGTATTTTCAGCGTACCCTGATGAACATTCGTCAAACGACTTCTGCATTTTTACTGGCACTGTGCACAGCCCTGGGATGACAGAAGATGGAAAGTAATATTAATAGTCAGTCACAAATAGTAGTTAAGTGCTATCTTGGCTCATAACATAAGATCATAATGATCCTTTGAATTTCTAAAATGTAACTTTTCACTACTAAATTTGAATGTTTCTACTGTATGTAGAATTTACACATGTGGCATGCCATGTCAGACCACAGCAAATGTTCCGTGCAAAGTGGCTCCACCCACCTGACTTTACTCGGGCTTGGATCATGCTAGGCGGGGCGACCAGTACCGACTGCATATCTGCTGTGAAGCCCTTGTCCTGCCAGCGAAGCTTGTCGTCATTGTAGGAAGTCTCTGGGTAGAAGTTCTCCAGAGCGGTCCCGTTCAGCCAGGACCAGAAGGCATCAGCATCATGTACCTGTTGAGAAACAAAGCCTTATGATCTTACTGTACAAAAATAACAATTGCCTAGTGTAAAGTCCTCGTGACAAAATACTTTTGGGAAAAATAAGTTTGAATTTTTCATGATTTAAAGAATGATTTTTTGGATATGAGTAATTTTGTTGTTACCTGTATCAACATGAGTAAACAAACATGTAAGCCTTAGGGTTTTCCACTGGCTTGAAAGGACTGACCAATGAAATGATTTTGTGGTCTGACACCTATGTAAGACCCTGTAAATGATCTTACCTTGTCTAAGGACTGCACAAAGGTGTTGGTTGTGCTCTGTGTCTGATAGAAGGCCTGGGTGATGTTGTGGTGTTCGTTGGCGATACTGATGACAAGCAGCACACAGCAGCAGAAACACATGATGTCCCGAAAGATTTCCCAAAATCGTCCGTCCATGTGCTGCTTCCTCCTTGCTTGTTTGATGTTGATAAGAGACGTCATTGAAAGTTGCTCCATCTTTCTCCTCATGCGAAAGGCATCACCTGTAGTACGCATGAAAAATATAAGTAAAGTCAGTATTGTCTGTATTTGTTAGAAAAGTGGATACAACACCACTGATGGAAGCAAGAAGAAATGACTAATCAGATCACAAAACCTTGTCTGGAAACTTTGCCAGGTACGCTTACACTGCACAGAAATGGCTTTTTTCACCATTAATCATTAGGCACCTGTATTATATTGTTCAAACAATATAATACGTACACAGTTTGGTGAAACAGTTATGCACAGTTTAGATAAGTCATATACACGAGTACATTATATAGGGTACTGTTGCTTTGGAGATCTGTTAAGATACATTTATACACTGTGGACCGGAGGATATATGCCTCGTGTTATGACCTGATGGAATTATGTTACAAAGTAAACTTACAGTTGAAGCCTGACACAGCATTGGCTTCTATCCAAACGGGGTCTCGTTTCTCTTCAAAAATCTTCTCAACGGCTTGACTCTTGCGAAAGGATGAAGTCAAGATGGCAAAAAGAAATATCTGTAAGATAAAAGTTCGTTGTTAGGATTTCTGAACAATTATGCAAATGAACCAAACATATAATCATTATATTTTCAACTTATAATCGTCTACAAGTAGACCATTCCACATACAGCATATCTTTACCTTCGGTGGCTGCCGAAAAAAGTTGTCCACCAGAAAGGTGATGACGAACACAGTTAGCCACCTCTCTGTCTTGTCCTTGCCCCACTGCAAGCTATACAGCGTGATGAAGACAGCCGATCCCAGGAAAGACAGCACCACCAGCACCCAGGCCACGTACTTGAACCCGTGTGGCAGGCGCTTGGCTAGATCCGTCTGCGTGGGTGCCTCGGGTGGGCCGCCCATCTCCACGTCTCGCACGCGGCGGTTGCCCTTGCTGCTTGGCCGGCTGTACTGGAACAGCAGGACAATCGCTGTCATAACGGGAAGGCAGGTGATGCTGGCCATGAATCCCGTGTAGACTCCGTTCAAAGTGAAGGAGAACGGCCCCAGGCTGAAGGCCTGCACGACCTCGGTTTCTACTTCTTCCCTCAGCCACATGGCACTGCACACCATGGACACTGCGAAGAAACTCAGGCAGCAGCCAAGCCTCTCGAAGCGGGTGAACGTGCTATCTGTAGAAGAAACATAATGGGGACATTTTTCATCAAGACAACTTGGTCTTAATGATAAAGAATGAAAGCAACACTCCAGATCAAATGCAGCCAGCAAGAGGCAATTCTAATTAAACATAGAATTACTAGTATGAGGGAAATTTAATTTAGACATACACATGTTATGCGATATAGACTACCTCGTATCAGCCAAGATAAAATACAGTAAACCTGAATAAGCAAAATTCATGATACCTTCAGGCCTGAAAGCGACGGACAGAAAGAGATGTTGGTCAACCATGGTAGACCGTAGACTTGCCGGGAACAGGAACCCGAAGGATTGCAAGTCCTCCTCAGAGGCGACAGGAAAGGTCTTCACGACCTGCCCGTCCCCGCGGTCGGCTGCTAGCCACTCGTTGCAGAAGAAGTAGAACCTGAAGTTCCAAGAGAAAGAAATATTTCTCTGTTATTAACACTACTCATCAGTAAAGGGATAAACAAGTTTCACATAACATTCAAGCTGTTCCAAAATCACATTCAAATTTCAATTTCAAAAATGTGGGACAGATAGACCCAAGTTGCTGTAACAAGGAAACTCTTAGAATTTCATACTATAGAGACCTAAGGTACTAGTATTACTTATTTCACATGACAATTTTAGTCTCTACAACACCTGTACGGCTGTACCTCTACAATGTGGAAAGCGCTTGGCTGGACTCACAGTTTGCCTGTGGTGAGATCCTGCACGGCTGCTCGGTCCACGTGCCACGATGCGCGGCTGCCCTCCCCACTGTTGTCGTGCATGAGCTGCAGCAGCTCCACCTTACCCAGCTGTTCTGCTGTGCTGAAGGTCAGGGTCACCTGGCTGGTTTGGGTGAAAATCTAAACAGCAAGAGAAATCCCACCTGTTAGGACATGCCGTAAAACATCTGCAGAGGAAAGTTGGGTGATGAAATGGCAGTAGGAGTAGTCAGTATCATATTTGATGGCCTAACCTTCTCTGTGATGTCGACCAGTCTCACACCAGAGTTTGCTGCATCTCCGAACAGCTTGAAGGCAATTTTGGACTCTGTCCCAGCATGCTTAGCTGCACCTGTCCAGATAAGGAGGCGGTACTTGAAGTTGCCCTGAAGGTTGTCCAACCTTACAGCTCCATTCAACAGCTGTAACAATGTTCGAAGAGATAGAACATGAATGTTCATATACATGTACATACTGACCTTGCCCTTTCACAGTAGATTGACTGAAGAGTAAAAGCCACCATAAGAACATGCAGATACACTGCTAGTATGCTACCTATTTAAATTTTTAACCTTATCTATATACACATGCAAGGCAGAGTTTAGAACCTTTGTGATATCCAGTGGCTAGTTGGACGGGCCTGGCTTTCACTACCAAACTAATGATAGATATCAAACATTAAGTGCTGATTGCTGAAAATGTACCAGAAAACCCATTAGAAATAAGTCCACAGAGCAAAGACTTGACATTACATGTGACCACGTATGTTGGCCTGATATGGTTGACTGATGACGCCCACTTACCTTCCTTTTTCCTGTGCGCTCAGCGATCTTGATCACGACTGATATGAGCGAGTAGAGACAGAGCCCTACAATGATGGTTGCCAGGACGGCACCGTTGTCTACAAGATCCCTGAAGTTCAACGCCTCAAACACGATGGTGTTCGGCGGTGTGGCGAAGTCACTCCCGAAGGCTGTCAGATGGTTGCAGTGACAGATAGTGCTATTAATGCCGGACTGCTCGCTTATCTTTGGAAAGCAGTTAAGAGATATATTCAAATTGTTAAAATCACATTTACACATGTAGCAAAGTCAAAATTAGACACTGGTCCTTAAGTTCTATTTGGAAAACCTCTTGCAATCAAGCAATCATACTATTTTTTATTTATCTATTATTTACCATCTTTACATGTGGTGTCATCAAGAAAGTAGTTGAATAAAGATTAGATATATATAATTTTATATAACTGATTTATATCCACAGCTTTAGATATGATTGATTAGAAAATGAAAGCGATGAGCTAGAAGAACAATAATGCGATACAGTTTGGTGTTTTCCACATCACCGAAGCGGCGGCAGCTAAACAGCTTAATTACTAAACTAGAGTTCCACGATCTCATACCTTCGCCAAATGATGTTAGCTTTTATGATTAAGAAATTATATATTAATCCCCCTGATTATGCAAATAGGATCCTCAATTGCATGAATTATATCTGATGTTAGCTTTTATGATTAAGAAATTATATATTAATCCCCCTAATTATGCAAATAGGATCCTCAATTGCATGAATTATATCTGTGATCATATTCTCCACCAAAAGACAGTCTTATCTTAACAAAGAATGCCATGATGACATTTTCTCATAAATTATGCAAATGAGGTCCTTATTTGAATAAGTTATGTTGAATTATGTTCACCTTAACTTAACTTTCAAACACCCCAAGTATAAAATTCCAGGCAGTTACCACTATGCAATTATAATATTTTCTCAGTTATTATGCAAATTAAGTCTTCATTTGCATAATCGATATCTGCCTGTGTTTCTCTCATTCTTTATAACATATGTCTCAAGCTTGAACTTCCTATTATGGAATGCAGCTGATAAATAGAATTTCCTCATTAATTATGCAAATTACATCCATATTTGCATAATTGTAATATCATTATGTCAAGCATCACTCAAGCTACCTACATACCAAAAATCACGATCCATCAATCGGTTCTTGAGTTATCCCCCTTTAAACATTTGTCCATTAAACCCCCCTGCAGTTCTAGAGCAAGCAACTAGGGGGCTCAAACTCATGTCACTTTATCCCCAGCTCAAGAGCTATCTACCATCCAAATTTCGTCACCCCAGCATGTCTGGATCATGAGAAATCAAAGCCGGAAGTTCTGCTGCAGTACCATGACAAGCCGCCAGGTGGCCCAAAATCTAATCATTTTGAGGTCTCATCAAGACCTACCCACCTACCAAGTATCAAGACAATCCATCAAGACCTTCTCAAGTTATCGTGTTGACAGACAGACACACACACACATACACGAACGCCCCTGAAAACATAACCTTCTTGGCGAAGGTAATAATGAATGAAAGAATGAAAGACCTTTATTGTACGTTTGTGCTCTAACAAGCTAAGTACAGGTCATGGATAGACAAAGACATGGATACAGCAATGATACTTAAACTATACATACTAATGTGATCTACTATTTACATTGTTCGACTTCTTCTCGCTTCTTGACACAGTTATAGATGTACGAGCATATAGAATTAGTGATACATGGTTTGTCAAGTTTCATAAGAAATAGGAATTTTTCTGATTCAT